AAGGATGGAATATTCCAACTTTGCCTGGAGAATCTTCTACCATTTGACACAGAGAATCAGCTTCAATTTACAACCCAGATGCAAAGCTACTGATAAGGGGTTTCTGGACACAAAATTCCATCTTTATCTTAACTTCCTACTTTCCACAGTCATAAGAACCTGTGTCTACTTTGTAGTTTAAACCTCATGTCACTCTTGAGTGCTGACATAGCCTTGCTTTCTTTGACCCGACCAAACACTGCTCATTTACATTTCATCTCAACTCCACCCTGCCTTGGAATCCTATAATAACACTATCTCCTCATTTGTTGAGATGCCACAGGATTTCACTGGTGTGAAACCTCTCACACTGCAATGGCTTAGTAAACCTGATTTTCTCAGACTATGGTGATGTTTCTGGTGGTTTCAGGCTGATTGAGCAAGGACCCAAGGAAAATCAGCTAGATTAAAATTCAGTTCTACTGTGGGCCCTCAAGGTTTAAAAGCCATGGACTAAAGGGTAGTAACCAGTACAATGAGGGACCAGGCAACAATAGTCTACGAGACCCTTTAGCCTGGGCTGTGGGTCACAGCCAAGAGAAACTGGGTTTAATCCATGTTGCTACAGAGGGCAGAGACAGATCAGAGCAGAAGGGTAGCCACTCAGAGGCTGAGTTAGGGCCGATATGAGTGATAACAAAAAAAATCTGCTTTTACCATGTCAACTAAATTGTAGTGCCTTGGGAGATTTGGGATAAGTCAGTAGTCACCTCCACAAGTCCTGGAAAATGTTATCATAAGACCATTTTCACTTAGAAGCAGACACGATGGCACCAGAAAGTCATAAAATAACTTAGAATGCTCCTTTTAAGTCTGACCTTAGATCCCTGCATGTAGGATGCCACCTAGTAATAATCCCAAATCTCTAAGTCATGTACAACCAATAGAAAAACCAATGATGTAATTAGGCAGGGCTCTTTTCTCTCTCTCCTTTGATTTTTCCCCCTTTTTGTGATTATAGAATGCTAAGCTTTGCTGGCCCTCTTTGGAACACATTTCTCAGGCTGACCTGACCTATGTGTTTCTCCGGTTGCAATCATCATATTCACTAGATAAATCCTATGCTTCGTATGTTTGGTCTCAGTTTCTTTTAGTTCAACATGACAAAACATTTTCTCACCACGAGAGCTTTCCTGTACACAGAGTGAGGAAACTGCAGACCTAAGACGTTCCCAGTGCTGATCAAGGTCAACCTGAACTTGTTTTTGTAGCTCTGGAAAGTCCTGAGCTGGGTGGGAAGTTCCACTGCACCCCTCTAGAGAATGGTTCTATTAAGTGTAAAAGTTCTAATGTTACTTTGGAGACCCGTTCCTTTTAATTAGTTTTTAAGCCATGTTCAAGACCAGGACCAGCAGGGAATTCTGCAGGTGCCCTTCAAATCATACATTACATTTCACCTTTCATGGCTAGGAA